ATCCACTTCTGGGCCTTACCTCCCTTGAGCCCTACAACCAAGGGAAACCCTAGGTTCGAATCTACCTTGTTCTCTTACAACCCTGTTTTTTTCAGCAACCCAGAGAAGAAGGAATGAGAAAAGAGCAGCAAAAGAAGAGAGAGTAGAAGCTGGTGTGCCGGCTGAAACCCTAGGTTCGAATCAGCTCTGATACCATGTGAGCTGAATGCTGTATTCGAAGTAGAGAAGTGAAGAAGAAAACCACTGGTATGCTGGAAAATGTCAAACTGAACTGCCCAGTCGACCAGCTATTATTTATATTTGAATGTAGTACATTGATACAAGAATTTACTGGAATGCCCCTGATTAGTGATGGGACACCCAGTTAACTTAAAACCATTAAACAGGCTTTAGGTCCATTAACCCAGGCCCAGTTACATGATAACTTAACTTAAGTACGGGCTAATAAGACTCTTATCAGCCGAACACTCATACAAAGAGACTTAGTTCTAACATTCTAACACTCTAACAGTAATATTGTGAGGGTAGTTTGCTAATGCCTAGATTGAAATTTCCAACCATATTGTCAACTTCCTACTAGAATTACAGATGAACATATAAATTTCAATTTACATAAGTTTCAATACCTCATAAACATAAGACTGAAAATTGCAATTATTTATCGAAACTTAAGATCTTAGCTTTTAAGTAAGTAATTGACTAAAAGAGTAGAGGAAAAACTAAAAGATAACAGGAGGTTTCCTGCATTCAAGATTACCTTGTTTACATGTATTTTTTCTTTACCAGCCATGGGAATAGTATTATTAGAATATACATTTTTAAGTGTATTCCTATAAAATACTTAATTGTGTAATCAAATTCAGCATTGAGTCCAGTATATTGACCTGCATCCTTGCTCCCCTTGTTCTCTTTTATGTGCAAATGTAATTTTCAAGAAATCTCCTAGCATCTCCAATGGTTTATTGATGGGTGAATGCAATGCATCACAGAAATTTCAATTAGATGCATGAAACCACTTCATTTGGTCTTGTCACTGGAGTCTAGATGAGAGAAAATGTCACTCCAACTCCAAAGGGTGCCAAACCATCATAGAGAATTAGTGACTTGAGGGCAAAACACATGGGTCTATTGAATAATTTTAGCTCATACATGGTGGAAGTGGAGTTTGTAGTCAGAAGCAACAATAAAGACTTCAGTTGTGTTTGTGTGCATCCTCAAATAAATTGATTTTATTATGATCTCCAGTTCTCCATTGCACTTTAAGAACAGAGGTTACCATCTAAAAGCTATTTCCACTTATTGAGAAAAAGATAGAAGTGAGATTATCATAGGATTTCAAGAAGTGAACTTTCTAAAGAGCGGCAAAGGCTGGTGTAATACACTTAAGTCCTAAGTGAACTTATCTCTCTTAAATTCTAAGATGAAGTGATCTCATTTTGCTTGGCATCATCATCTTCATCATCATCATCCAAGCCTTATGCCAACTATACGAGGACTACATGAATCCTTGTTTTGCCATTCTATTCTGTTTATTTGCTTGGCATCTTCCCAAATAAAGAAATATTAATATTTCTCCCCTACATAGAATGCTAAAATGCAATGGATTTTTAAGTGCATTTTAATTTAAGGGGAAACTGCTTAAACCTCCCCTGAGATATCTGACAAATACTTAAACCTTCCTTCTGCTTTTTGAAAGGATTCTGACATCCCTTGCCAGGTGATGTCACTAGACTAATAGTACCCCTTCATTAGTTGTCCTTCATGCTCCATTTGCATGTGATATTACATGATCGTTATCATCATCATCATCATCATCCAAGCCTTATCCCAACTATATGGGGTTGGCTGCATGAATCCTGTTTTTCCTATCCGTTCTGCTTATTGCCATATCCATTGTTGAATTATTGGTGCTTAAATCATTTCTTACTACTTCTACCATGTCCTTTTCGTCTATCCCTTGCTCTTCTAGCCCTTTCGACTTGTAACAAATCACTTCTTATGGTGCTGTTGATGGTCTTCTATGCACATGACCAAACCCATCTTAGTCTACTTTCTCTCATTTTATCACCTGTTGGAGGTACTCGTAAGTTCCTATGAATGACTTCATTTCTAATCCTATTTTTTCTAGTTTTTCCACTCATCCATCTCAGCATACACATCTCTGCCACACTCATTTTCTGGATGTGCTGTTCCTTGACTGCCTGAAATTTTGCTCCATACAACATAGCTGGCCTTGAATTTTCTCTTTTATCTAAATGGTATTGGCCTATCACATAAAACTCTAGCCCTCCATTTTGCCCATCCTGCTCTAATTCTATGGGTGATATCCTCCTCGGTCTCTCCTTTGTTATGAATTATCGAACCAAGGTACCAAAAAAGGTCACATTGAGTTATTTCTTGGTCTTCAACCTAAGTGTACCCTGATTTGCACTCCCATTGTTATTAAATTTACATATGTGCTGTTTTGCTTCTACTTTAAAACCTCTTGTTTCTAAGGCATTTGTCCATAAACTTAATTTTGCATTTAATCCTTTTTTAGTTTTAGCAATTAAAATAATGTCATCAGTCCTGGGGATCTCCTCCTAAGCGTGTTTAGTCAATTCATCCATGATAGTGCAAATAAATAAGGGCCAAGTGTTGAACCTTGGTGAAGGCCCACCTTAACTATAAAGTCTGATGTTTCTCCCACAGGTGTTCTTAACATTGGTTGTTGTACTCTCATACATATCTTTAATTAGATCTATATACATATTCTGAACCCCTTTCTCTTCCAAGACCCACCATATTATTTTTCTAGAAACTCTACCATATGATTTCTCTAGATCGATGAACACCATATTGAGATCTCTCCTTTTCTCTCTTAACTTTTCCATCAATCTTCTCAAAAGCAAGATAGCTTCCATGGTTGATCTCCCTGTTATGTTATTTTGAAAACCCACTTTTGTCTTTCCTTTTTTTTTTTCTTTCCTCCTCTTCTTCCCATCCCTGTTTCTCTTCTTTTCAACCTCCCTTGAAGTACACATTTAGATTTTATTAAAACCCAAAAATACCTTTTATTCATCTTTCTCCCTCGTTAGAAGATGAGGATTTTTTTTTTGGGTTCATCTCCCTGTTGTGCATGATCTCCCTGTTGTGCATTTTTGTGATTTGCAAGATAGAACATGATCTCCCTGTTGTGCATTTTTGTGATTTGCAAGATAGCTGGCAGAGATATGTGAATGCTATGAATGAGATTCTGGACAGTGTTGGCTGTAGGATTACGGGGAAGGGGAGTATAGCTAGCGCATCTTCTACACTGAACACCTCCTTTGACTGAAATTGATGATGATCCTCTAATTCTACATAGAGCACCTCCTATGTGGAACTCTTTTTTTGATTGGAATTTCCCTGTACCCTCCACTTATTTTCATTTCCAAAAGGCAGAGCTCCTCCTTAGACCGGAATTGATGACCTGATACCAGGTCATAGAAATATCTATCTTTCATTCTAGCAGTAATACGATGGACTTGAGTTCCAAGAAGTCCCAAGCTCAGCTTTTTTTCTCTCCACATTAACCTAATGTTTTTCCATACTCACAATGTGGCATTACCAGACCCTTTTGAACCTCACCAACTGAACCCATCTTAGCTTCATCTTCCTTTCTCTTTCAATCCCCACATTGTTGTGCATATTTTATGTAGTTTTTAATTTAAATTACTATGTCATAAATATTTGCATTCTGTGAGAACATGATGACATAAATATTAGAGTGTTTCTTTGATTAGACTCATGGATATCTTGGAATCTTGTATTTGAATAATTGAATTTTCTATGTGTAGTGGTGGCGATTTGGGCACAATTAATAAAAAAGAATTTTTTTGAAAGGACAAAACTACTGCTATTAATTACTTTTTGTCATTTTCATAAATAGGGTACCTTCTATCTCTCTCCAGGGACGTATCTGGTAAAATGGGATTTTCCCAAGTTGGCACCCATTTTGTATATTTTTAGGTTTTGGGAAAGTTTAATTTTCCCTTATCTTTATATTTGCATATTTGCAGATGAATTATCCCAAGATTCATAAACAAATTCCCTGTATGGCTTTGTTCATTTTCTCATGTACTTATCTTCTTTTTTTCATTAATCCAAATATATCAATTAGCTTTGTTAAAGATGAACAAGAACATCCATGTATGCATGCATATTCACCATATGCCTTTGAAGTTGGATATTCCTATGCACCTTCATATTACAACTTTATTTAATGTGATGATCATATGCATACAATAAAAGCCAGGACAATTCAGGGACAGTGGCAATTGCTTTATTTTCATGTGTCTATAAATATACTATGCATTAGTTTGATGAATAGTACAGTGAAGATATTACAATTGTCGGATGTTTTTGCAATATGAATTGTTTGTGCAGCTTTTGAGGTTCATAAAAAAATTGCTTGTGCAGTTTTAATTGTGTTTCTATATTCTACAGAGGATATCAATTGGTTACTTCTTAGCAGCAATTTCTGAAATCTGGCTTGTGATCGATATCATAGTGGATTCAGTCGTGGCTTTTGTGAATAAATACTACATGCAATGGTTGGTAATGTTTATTATTCAATTTATTCTCCATAAGTTATTGCCACACATGAAGAAAATCAATATAATCGACTTTTGACTGCTTGGCGTATTTATGTCACTTAAGTTTGAGGATGTTTCTATCTTTTTTGTATATTTAGTAGTGGCATAATGGTACTTTTACTAGCTTATGTAACCTAACATGTAAATAAAATACAGACAGCTAATGGGTGCAAATTCTTCTGTTCCCTTTTAGTCTTTTACATGCTCTCTCTTTCTGTATTCTTTTATTATTCTACTCTGACTTTTTTTAATATATTATTCTTTTTTGTTATTTCAAGTTGGTATCAAAGCTCTTTTCTTGGGGTGATTGAGCTATTGCTCTGCTCTTCTTCATCAAGTGCATGGAATAGAACCATTTGCCCTTTACCACTTGAATCACCCAGCATTTGGATTTTTTTTTTCAGATTTTTTGGAGCTTTCTACCTCGGTATGACTGCCTAGAGAGGTTCTGGAATGCCAGGAAAATCAGTTTTGGTTTTTTGAATTGGTGAAACTTAGTGAGAGGAGATGAGCCTATTTTTCCACTAAGAATATTGAGGTGAAACTTAGTGTTGGACATTTATGGACTGCTAGAATCAAGCAGTGATTGATTCTGGGAGATATCAAGTTTTTCTATAGTAATTTTTATGATCCTATTTTAATGCCATCTATAGTGAGTGTGTTTGAAAGCTGGCTGCTTGGTATCTGTTAAAAGACTGTTTATAAGTTGTTTTCTTTGTTTTTTTATTTTCTGATTAGTGTTGCAGGGGTACTATTATAATTCCCCCTCTTTATGTTATGTTATGGTCGCCCTAATATAAATACCAAAAAGCTGGTGCCACCAGCCACAGTTTTGCTCTCAGATCTCTCTTTTTCTCCTCTCTCTTCCTATCTTCTATCTTCTATTCACTTCCGCTTCTGGACAAAATGGTATCAGAGCAGGCCCATTTGATCTGAAAGGAGATTGAAAAAGCTCTCCTTTGTCTTCTCCCTTATCTTGCTGCTGATTTTTTTTTTTTTTTCCTGAAGAACCAAGGTAGATCTTTGAACTGATCTCAGAAGCTTCTTTATTCCTTTTTTTTTATCCTGATCGTGTATCAGGACAAAACCAAAAAAGGGGAATAAATCAACTGATGTGAGGTGATCAGCACCTGTACCTTCCTTTTTTGTAGGATCGAGTGATCCTTGTGGTGGTTGTAGGTCAGAGGTGACCTATATGTGCTGTGACAGCAGCTTTGTGGAGTGTTTGTAGGTCAGAGATGGCCTATGTGTGCTGTGACAGCAGTTCAGTGGGTAGTTTGTAGGTCAGTGATGACCTGTAGGTGCTGTAACAGCGGTAAAACAATTGTTTCGGGTGATTGAAGGACTGTGGTTGAACTAAAAGGTGGCTGCCTGTAGTTTCCTGGTGTGAATTTGTTTTTTTTTTTCAGAAATAATACAGTGCGTGAAAGGGAAAACAGGTTGAACAGGTCGGACTGTACTTTTCCTAGTTTCCTTTTGGAGCTCTTTTGAGTGTGATCTAAACCAGTTATCATGAGTAGTGAATATTCAGCCACATCTAGTGTTTCCTCAATGCAGAATGGACTGAGTGGGGGTATGGATTTATCCTTCCCTATGGCTGTCATACCTCTTGATGGTCTCAATTACTTAGAATGGTCGGAGGGGATCAGGTTATATATTACTACAAGGGGAAAGATAGGATATATAAATGGAAGAATTAAAGAACCTAATTTTGGGAGTGCTAAGCATGATAGATGGAACCAGGAAAACAGCATGGTAGTGTCATGGCTCTTAGTGTCTATGCAACCTTAGGTGAGAAGAAATTTTATGTGGGCTGAAACAACTTATGAGATTTGGGAATAAGCAAAGTCAATCTATTTTGAATTGCGACACTATGCAAAAATCTATCAATTACAGGCAGAATCCTCTACTTGCAAACAGGGGGAGAGGAGTCTCTCTGTGTACTACTCAAACTTGTCTTCCATTTGGAAAGAGTTGGATCACTATCAGAGTGTAGATTGGAAGTGTGATGGAGATGCCAAAGCATATAAGTCTTTTGTTTCACAGCAGAGAGTCTATGCCTTCCTCCTTGGCCCAAACCCTATGTATGAATCCATTAGAGTACAGATCCTTGGAAGCAAGGATCTCCCATCTGTCCAAGAGGTATATGCTCTAGTACAGTCCGAAGAAAGAAGAAATCTGATGAATAATTATGGGGGAGATGCAGTTGTGTTGGCAGCAAAAGGAAGTGTTGTTACAAGTGGGGGAAATCCCTTTACGAAGGGAGATTCTCAAAAAAAGGTGGATGACAAAGAAAAATTATGGTGCACCCATTGCCAGAAGTCTCGACACACTCGTGACACATGTTGGGACCTCCATGGGAAGCCAAAATGGGCTCAGGAATTGAGTAAAAAACAAGGTTCAGATTTGAATAAGAAGTTAGGACAACAAGGTTCAAGAAATTTCAGTACAACAAACATGGCTACTCAGGAGAACCATCCCTCAACTACTACTGCAGTTCAGACATACACCTCTGGTTCTGACCCTAGGGAGGATATCATTAATTCCTTCCGTGACCATTTAGAACTTTATGGTAGGGCAATTCGCTAGATGGATGCTCCTCTTCCATCAACTTCATATGCATCTGCATTAGGTAATTCTGCCACAGCTCTCCATGTATCGTCTCATTCCTCCGACTCTCCTTGGATAATTGATTATGGAGCGTCATAACATATGATCAATAAGTCTACTTACTTCTAGACTTATCATCTCCTCTCTAGAAGAGACAAAGTGAGACTGACCGATGGTTCATTCTCTACCATAGCTGGCCAAGGAACCATTTCTCTTCCTTTTGGCCCTACCTTTCTAATATTTTACATGTTCCACAATTCCCTATTAATTTGTTTTTTGTTAGTAGTATAACCAATTCTTTAAACTATTCAGTAACCTTCTTCCCTTCTTGTAGAGGAAATGGTTGACTAGCTTGTGGTCCCATCTTCTCACATGTTCTTTCTTGTATATAGTACTGTTAGACTTTTTTTTTCTATTGTTTCTAGTGATAGGGGCATTCCTGTCATTGTACCTCTTAATGTTAAAGACCTATTTTAAATATCATTTGGGGTGGTAGACTAAGCTAGCCAAACCCTTCATTCTCTTCTATTCTCTCTTCCTCTTCTCTTCTCTTCATTTCTGGTTTACTTTTCTTACTAAACAGGTCTGAACCCTCTTGGTTTCAGACAACTTGGTATCAGAGCAGGCCTAAACCTGGCTTGGGCTCTCATGTAGGTGTTGTCCAGCCGACTACATGAGAGTTGTTCTAGGGCTGGAAGCTTCAGCTTGAGTTGCCTGGTTCTTGGAGGTCATTGGAGATCGAAAGAAGGTGCCCAAGATTCAAATCTCTTGGAGAGCTGTCCGGTGACCAAGAAGAACCGGAGAAAACAAGTTGGTTTCTGATTTAGAGCTTAAATCAGAGATTGAGAGTGGCGCCCAGTAATTTCTGGGTTGTTTTTATTTTTCTGGACTGTTAAAGTGTCCAAAATTTCTCTGAAGTTAGTACAGCTATTCGGCTGTTCTTTTGACTGCTTTAGCCCAGAAATTTCTGGGTTGTTTTCATATTTTTTGGACACTCAAGTGGCTGAAATATCACTGGAATTAGTACTGCTGGTTGTTTTTTTCTCTTGGACTGTTTAGGGCTCCTGTACAGACTGTTTTCTGGGCTGTATTATTTTTTTGACAGTGTGGTCTCCTCTACTTCCCACCTGGTGTTTGTAAAAAGGTCTCTGAAGTTTTCTGCTTCCTTTGGGTGCTGTTTGGACAGTACCTTGAATTTCTATTTAGAAAAGGAGTTTGGACAGTTTGGACAGTTTTGTACTCTTCATTCAGTGATTACTCTGTCTACTTTAGCATGGAAATGGCTGGAAATGAGAACAAACCAAATGGAGGACTTGTGGGAGCTGTAAACTCTACTGATAACAGTTCATTTCAGATTACTACAGTCAAGTTTGATGGAACAAACTATTTGGAATGGGCCCAGTCAGCCGTGATGGCCATTGGAGGGAGGGAAAAACTGGGGTATGTGATGGAAGACACAAAGAAACCAGCACAGGAGGACCCTTCCCTTGCTAAATGGGTTCAAGAAAATTATTTGGTTATGACTTGGTTACGCAACTCCATGCAGCTTCATATCAGTAGAAACTATCTTTGGGCAAAGACAACTAAGGAGATTTGGGACAATATGAAAGAAACCTATTCTCAGCCCCTTAATGGTGCTAGAGCCTATGAACTGAAAATGGAGGTGAATAATCTTAAATAGGGGGAGAAACCTGTGTTAGTTTATTTCTCCACCTTGAAATCATTGTGGTTTGAGATTGATCATCTTGAGACTATTGAGTGGGAGAGCCAAAAGGATGCTGCCACATTCAAGAAATTGGTTGAGAAAAATAGTGTTTGAATTCCTAGTTGGGCTAAACTCTGACTATGACATTGTAAGACAACAACTCCTTACTAGAGATAGTGTCTCTTTATCTCAAGCCTACTCTCTGGTACATAGTGAGGAAAGTAGAAGGATGGTTATGTTGCAAATTCCATCTATGGAATCAGCTTTAGTAGCTATAAAACCAAAGATTGGAGGTGATAAGGAGAGGGATGTAAAGAAGGATGGAAAGAGGGATGTGTTTTGTGACTACTGTAAGAAGCCAAAGCATACTAAGGACGCTTGTTGGAAGCTTCATCCATAGCTAAGTCCAGAAAGACTTATAACCACAGGAGCTCCATCCACTCCCAACACTAGATCCAGTCCTCTTTATGCATTGGCTGCTGTTAGGGCTGCTTTATCTCAGATGGAGAGTGAAGTTGGTTGCTTTGGACAGTCTCATTCTACTCCCAGCTCTGTTTTTCCTCAATCAGGTACAAGGGCCTCTGTCTATAATGCCTCTACCCCAAGTAACACTAGCCATTTTGGATTATTGATTCAGGTGCAT